GAAACTCTTTGGTTTTAACCTGAATGTGTTCTGTTTGTGTTCCAGCTGGAAAATGCTACGTCTGTATCTTTCTCTGCTTATTTGGTCCTTGTCTGAGGTTTCTCCAGGTAAGCAAGATTTTTAAGTTCCCTTTGTTTAGTTTTGTTGCTGCATAAAGTATAGGAAATATAAGACTTTTTATTTCTTGTGTATTCACAGTTTATTCAGAGGTGGTAGCCCCTACTTCTCTGTGCCAACCATCATGGCTTCTTTTTGGAGAGAGGTGTTATGCTTTCTTCCCCGTGTGGAGCTCCTGGAGCACTGCTAGAGTAAATAAGAATTAAAGTGTTTTTCACCGATGTCGCACGTTGTCCCTCGTGGTATAATCAGAATATTCTCGCCTTAGACTTTGTGCTCTCAGACTGGTGGGACCCTCATGCTGCTCAACACACCAGAGGAAAAGAAAATTATCAATCAGCTGACAAACACCAGCACACCTGTGTGGCTGGGTGGATACAAGGTGAGTAGGTGGGTCTTAAGCATGTGTCATGGCCTTTTTTAAAAATATATATTTACATCTTCATCTTTTTTGTCTTCTCTCTGTAAGAATGACTCTCAGCTCTGGAGCAACGACGACAACTGGACCGACCAGGCTGACGGAAAGACCAACGGGTGCAGGGCCTGTATGCAAATGACACCAAAAAGTAAAGTTATTCATTCAGGAGGCAGCCAGTGTTCTGTTATCTTGCCTATTAACATTAAGCAGTTAAATGTTCATTGCCCAATTGTGGGATTTGAAGGCCAAGGTTGTCCTTTTGAAGGTTTTTATTCTGTTTTATGCTGGAAAATGTTCTAGAAATAAGTAAAAATGTCTTAAATTAAGTGTATTTACCCTTAATTTGAGTAGGTAAGTGAGATAGTTTTCCAATGGAATGAGTAATTTTACTCTTAAAATAAGATAATTAGATAATATGCACTTAAAAGAAAACAATGCAATCGTGTTTTCTTATTTTAAGAGTAAATAGCCTTGTTCCATTGGTGAAATGTCTCTTTTACCTCCTCAATCCAAGAACATATGCACTTATTTTAAGAAAAAATTACTTACCCAGATTTAATTTTTTTCCAGTGGAAAGTATTTGAACACCCTGCTACTTTGCAAGTTCTCCCACTTAGAAATAATGGAGGGGTCTGAAATTGTCATCATGGGTTCATGTCCTCTGTGAGAGACATAATCTAAAAAAAAAATCCTAAAATCACAATGAATGATTTTTTTTAACTATTTATTTGTATGATTCAGATACAAATATGTAGTTGAACACCTGAGAAAATCAATACAAAATAGTCGGGTGTCCAAATACTTATTTTCCTCACTGTATGTTTTAAAGGTCTGGCCGCTTATGGTGGACGGTGAGCTGGAACTCGTCACATTTTTAATGTTTTTGTTTTAAAATCTCATTAAGGTTATCATTTGGCCAGCCAAACACAAGAGCTACATTTAATCTGGATCAGTGCTTAACTCAGGGGTTCCCAAACATTTCAACATCGAAACCCCAAAAAGTGGCGTCGCAACAGACTGGCGACCCCTAAAAATAGATATATTTACTACATATATTCACTGTTTTTCTTCTCTAAAAAATAACAGGTGCAGTAATTAATTTTATATTTAAATAAATGTATTATTTTTCAAACAAAATTAAATGAATGAGATTATCATTTCTCACTTTGATTATCACTTCAAATGTATCTTTAAGTATTCAACAAGGGATTTGATTGTTTAATGGTCCATTTCATT